CTGAGTTTCAGTATTAAATATACCAAAAAAAACCCTCCAAACCGGTGTTTTTTCCCCCCCCCCCCCCCCCTCATTCTTATTTCACTAGCTCGCAACTTCGTGAGCCCTGGACGTGGTATCTACTGTAGATGCAAGGGAATCATTCCTCTGCATGCCATAAAACACCTCCCTGAGGAGTGACAGGGCAGCAGCAGTCACGGTCCAGCAGCCCCACCCTCACACTGGTCACCACTCCCAACTTGATCTCAGCTGCAATAGTCCATTTAGTCCACTTCAGGTTATTGGGGTCAACAATTTCAAAAGATTTTGTTGTCTAGTTTGGTTACCTTTTAGTGTTACCTTAAGGCGGTGGTCCAAACACAAAAAAGCCAGAAACAGCGGAGGAATGTTTGAAACAAAGAGTGATATAAAATAGCAGCGGATATAAGCATAGCTTAATACATCTGAAGTGATGTTTGACAAAGAAAAAAGTATTTATGCTTTTCCACAAATATACAGAGTATAAAACAATAAAAAATATAATGTAAGGGCAGTGAAAGGCTGATTTTTAAAGGCCAACACATTTTCTTTGAAGCATAAATAAAATGAATGCTAAAGGTAATAGACTCGGCAGTAAGACCATCAACAAATACTCTAGTGTCAATGAATAGTTATATAAAATAAATGCATCACACTTAATATTGTCTCTGATTTTTTTTTTTTTTTAAGATTATATGTAAAATTCACAGCGATTAAATGCCCCTTATATTATAAATATCCAATGATGCCAAATGTATTTGACAAAGACTTGCCCTTTGAGGCTGGTCAGTTGAAGTGCTTTAAAGACACTCATCTACATTCTTGTTCATAACACTCATATATAAATTTGCTATTTACCACAACTCAAACATAACTACGGCAGAGCAATTTTTGAAATGTCGTTGCTAGAACCATTTTAACATTACAGTGGCAGTTTATATGAGAGGCTAGAACAGAAACAAAACTAAAGAGCAGTTCAGATAGATAAAAACAATAAATAAAAATAAACAAATTCCCTTCAACAATTCACTTTTCCTCTGTTCTACTTTTTAAATGTTTGTTAGTTTTCTGGAGAGTTTCCCTAAGTCTTTGAAATTAAAGACTTGGTTTTCTTCATATACTTTTTTTTTTTTAAGAATCAAAAATAGTCCATCCGTGACAGAATTACTTCATTAAATTGTCTGCAGTTTTTTTCAGACAACACACATTTCCCTTTACTTTTTTATTTCTCTGCCGTATTCACTAGCAGACGGTCCTCTTACACATATTGCCAGCCCAACTCCAAAGAAAATCTTGGAAACATGCTGACAGATAAAACATAGACAGACCCAAGAGCCAGTCTTTTTAACCCAGGTCCTTTTTCAGGTCGAGTCCGAATGACCTTCATGCAAACACCTGCATCTTGCCATTGGCCTCTGGGATTTGAGCAATTTGGGTCTGGTTGGGGACAGCGACGGCTGGGCTTGGCGTGGAATCTGACCAATCGGAGACGCAGTGGGGAGAGGGACTGGACCAGTGCTCTGGAGACTCTGGAGAGGGTGTCAGATAGGGGTGCTCACTGGGCAAATTGTGGAAATGCTTGGGTGTGGCATCTAATGTGGATGAATAACTGTGTTGGGAAGGAGGCGTTGGGTAATCCTCATTCCCTGCAGCGCTACCACTCGGCTGGGAGGAAAGGACCTGAGCTGGCTGGGCTGCTGCTGCTGCTGTTGCTCCTTGGGTGGGCTGAACAGGAGGCTGAGAGGACTGCTGAGGCAGCTGCTGCTGATGCTGCTGGAAGAATGATGGTGGAGGCTGCGAGGTTTGTGGGGTAGATGGAGTGGATGTTCCCATAGGACCCATGCTTGGCTGGTTGGTGATGTTGTGATTAATGAGCTGCTGTTGCTCTGCAATGGAAGGCAGCTTCACTGGGCTGATGGTCGGTGTGGAGGTAACCGGTGTGGGCTGCAGCATTGGACTGCGGTAGAGCTGCTGTTGGTGCATCAGCATGTTCTGCTGCTGCATGGCTGGACTCTGGACATGCATGCCTGCTTGACTACTCTGCACAATATTCACAACCTGCTGACCACACTGAGAGGATGGAGGCATGCGATTGTGCCAGTCAAACGGCACACTGACAGGACTGACCATGCCCATGTTGATCCCCAGCTGGCCAGAACTCAGCACATAGCCGTGGTTGACATCTGACGCCATAGAGACACGGCCCTGCATGGACATTGCTCCCGCTCCAATGTCATTAATTTGGGCAAGAGATACAGCAAATGGGCCCCCTCCTTCCAACATGCTACTGTGAACCATTGGGGTGTTTGGAACAGACATGGAGGAATGGAAAAGGCCTGGTGACTGCATGGCAACAGGTGACGTTGGATTGGTGATGTAGCCAGCATTGCTAGCTCCCCCGTGCGGTGAGTCTAGGGAGTCCACTGGGGACAGAGTAACGGAGCTATCCAATAAGGCACTCTGCATGTCCAGACTTAGCTTCTTATTGCGAGCCTTTACTGACTCCTTGAGACTTGCAGCATGCTGGGCTCCAAGGCTGGAACCTTTGGCCCCAGGCCGGCGGTTCTTCTTGCTCTGAGGGGTGTTCTTCAGACTAGGGAGGAAGGCACTTGGAGGGCACATGAGAGGAGACAGAGTGTGGCCTCCTGCGAGTTGGTGTCCAGCTGCTCCATGACTCTGGGGACTCCTCACTGTGTTGTATTCATCAAGAAGTTGTACAATATCGTGGTGCATACGCTCTAGAGCAATGTCTCTCGGCAGCCTGTCCATGTGGTCTGTAATTTCTCTGTTTGCAAAGTGAGCGAGCAGCACCTTCACTGCCTCACAACTTCCTTCGCGGGCTGCAAGGAACAGAGGGGTCTCCTCCTGAAAAACAGACAGAAAGCACATAAAAATTACATATGCAAACATACAAACATATGCATCATGTATGGATTCCGTGCTTGTGTTTTTAAAATTACCTTGAGATCTTGCATATCTTTGTTGGCGCCATTTTTCAGCAGAGCAATAGTTGCATCTACATTGTTTACAGCTGCAGCCCAGTGCAAAGCAGATTTACCTAGAAGAGACGTCAACCATTAGGATGAAATATTTTGGTTTTGCTTAAGTATTTTCATGAATTTAAACCAAATGATTTGGAGATCTGAGACTTACCCAATTCATCGACTGCATTGACATCTGCATGGCATGTAATGAGTTCCTCAACCATGCCTTCCACTGCCAGTCGCGCAGCCAGGATTAGAGCAGTAGAGCCATCGTACATACGGGAGTCCAGATCAGTGGCGCGATTTCGAATCAAAATCTAAATGAGTGGAAAGAACGGGAAAAAAACCCTTTATAGTTATACCATACATTTTGGGAAAGAGTTAAAAGTCTTTGTACTGCTAATGTCATAAACGAACACAACGTCCTAATAACCGATTACCTGGAAGACACCCTGTGCATCTGCAGCCACAGCAGCATGTAGCGGTGTTCGTCCTGTGTTGTCTTGAGCATTGGCGTCTGCTCCGGCATCCAGCAGGCGCTTTGCAGCATCAGCACGTGCATAGCGAGCAGCCAAGTGGAGTGCTGTCTCACCGGTACGGTCTGTTTGTGCAGCGAGCGACGCACCCTGGTAGATTAAGTCAGAGATAATGTTGGCAGAGCACTCTTCACTCTCCTCCTCCTCTGTCACCTCAGGCTCTAGGCCGCCTCCACAGAATGATGCCAGCATCAGAGGTGTAAAACCATCTGGGATGTGGACAAGTGAAAAAAAAAAAAAAAGTTAGTCATTTCAAGTGACCACCACCATGATTGGTGAAGAAAGATTAAAATGTATTGTCAAAAGACGGCTTTCACCCTAAAATTAAACTTCTACACCAACCTGGGCCTCGGACATTAACGTCCATGCAGTCACTTTCAAATTCTCCTTGAGGTGGTGTGAGGGCTATTGTGGGTGGTACACGGATGTCTGCAGCTACGAGATGGTGCTGGGTCCACTGTCTGCAGTCCACTGCATCTTCGCTGTCTGAGAGCATGCTCGGCTCCTCAACCTGAATTTATATAGAAATTTGGTAATATAAATTCTAGCACTAGCATCAATTTAAAAGGATGCAAAATATGTACAGTAAAAAAAAAAAACTTGTGTGACAAACCTTGAGTCGTTTGGCTTCTGGGCAATCTGGGTCCATCCACTGATCACTGTGATCACCGAGGAGAGATTCTTCAACTGTTTTTGGCATGTGTCTGATTACAAATTAAAAAAAAAAAATGCAGCAGCATAAGTTCCAGGAAAGCCACTGAAACTCAAAACTGATTCCTACAATAACAGCAAGCCGTTTTGCATTAACGATGAACTACAAAGTGTTTTAAGTTCTATTTACAAATAACTTACTTCAGTCCAAGAGCATCTTGACCCACAGGTTCCCTGCGGTTTTTGTTACTGCTGGGTTCCTTCTTGAGAAAGAAGCCTTCAGGGAACCAAAGGGTGCTGTGTTCACGCTTCCGACGAGTTATCAACATGCCAATCACAAGGATGACCAAAACAAAAATAAACACTAAACATGGCACCATCCATTGGGTAAGTAGATTCGACCATCCTGTTGGTGGAATGGGATCCATGGGGATCTTTTCTCCTGTTGTGGAACAAGAAAGCTTAGATTTGCATATGCCTCATTTGAGTGACCCATCAATCTTGTGTTAACTCAGAATTCACACTTGCCTCTGACTTCTCGAAGAGGATAAGGGAAGTCGAGCATTTCTGTTGCAGACAGAGCTCCGAGATACTCTGCCGCACTTTTAGCAGTCGGGAAACAGTCTTCTGAATCCCGAATGCACAAACGGTTGTCTATCTCCAGATAGACTATGGACCTACAAAAAAAAAGACATAGGAAAAGGTGTTTTGTGTACAGAGCAATCCCCAGGTAATGATTTATCGTTTATATTTACAGTGTCTGACTAACCCAACAACTTCATGTTGATGTCCAAGTTCTCGTTTGAGACGTGCCTCTCGACGGGTGTAGGGAAGGATCATTGCGTCTCCATTTTTGTCCAATCTGAAGCGCACTGAAGTGTGCAGGATAGCACTCAATTTCTGCAAAAAAGCTTTGCCAGTGAGGAGAAGCTTGTCTGGAGGCAGAAGGACGACCAACACCAAAACACCATTGGCAAGATCCTCTGGAACCGTTTCTGCACAATCTAAGCCATCCCAACCACACTCTTCTGTGTTGCAGCCCTGGTCACACTGATCATCAGCATAATGGGCGTCGCAGTAACTTGCATATATTGGACTGGAGAAAACAAAAGCACATGGATCATCTTAACTAATTTATGCTACTGTTAAATGAAAGGAATCAACCTTATCAATCAAATCAAACTCACTTGCAAATTTTCTCTTTGCTTCTGCAGTCAAAGTTGTCATACAGACACTCAGGGTTGTTACAGAATTCATCACACTGGCTATTGTTGAAGGCACGCCAGCAGCGGGGGTCTGCGCAATGAGCCCAGGGATTCACTGCCAGGGAGCAGTCACCACCATCCCAACGACAAGGAAGTGTATTACATTCCTTGTCACAGACACCGTCATTGGCTTTGCCTGGACAGTCTGCCCTAGGGCAGGCGAGAGCCGGAAGCTCAGATTTGCTTTGTTCGCACCGCTTTCCCATAAATCCACTTGGACACTGGCAATGGAAAAATGGGAAGCTGGTTTCTTCGGTGCACAGGCCTCCATTCTGGCATGGCTTGGAAGAGCACCCATCATTACTGTGATGCTGACATTGGGGCCCGCCAAAGCCTGTCAAACATACGCAGCGTGTTCCCCTCTTGGTAAGGGCACAGCTTCCGCCATTGTAGCAGGACAGCTCCTGACAGGACATGCTCCTTTCACAGTTTGGACCAGCATAACCCTAGAGACAAACATTGTTCAGGAAGTTTGTGATTACAACCTTTTGATATTGTCCTGTCATTGGCAAACTGTAATGTGAAATTAGATGTTTGAATACTCAAAACAATTTTAAACTTACAAGTTGACATGTACAGGTATATCCCAGAGGGGTGCTGCTAGTTACTGAACAGGCACCCCCGTTATGACAAGGCTGAGATTCACACACGCTGAACCTGTTCTGACACCTTCGTCCTAAAAAAAACAATTTGTCAGTGGTTACGTTTCCAAACAGAATGCACTGTTACAGACCATCAAGAAGGAAGATTGTCTAACCTGTAAACCCAGGCTTGCAGACACACAGGTAATCATTGGACAACTGGATGCAGTCAAGACTGTTGGTGGAACTACAAGGGCTCGAGAGACACTCATTTATGTCTCCCTCACATCTGTCTCCTGTGAAACCCGGTGGACAATTGCAGCGATGACCACCAACTCTGTCTACACAGGTTCCGTTATTGAGGCACTTGGGTGGAGCACCTTGTGGCCTCGGTGGTGGCGCACAGTCATCCTCATTAATCTCACAGAGAACACCTTCAAAACAGAAGATTATCACACACTAATGAATATAGGTACCATCTATTCGACACAGAAAGTAAACTCTCTAGTGATATGCATAAGTTTCTATTGCTTTTGTTCTTGCGTACCCAGTGTGCCGGGGGGACAGGAGCAGATGTAATGTCCAACTAGATCAATACAAGTGCCGCCATTCTGGCATGGATGAGACTGGCACTCATTGATTTCAATCTCGCAGGTCTGTCCAGTATAGCCAGGCATGCACTGTAATGATAGGATAAGCTCATTATATTTATGTAGGTTGAAAAAAATTAAAGGGCAAATTTAAATCCCCTGCTAAAATTATCGTTGGTAAAATCTGACACTGAAGAATCGACTTGTTTCAGAATAGATAAGGGATTTGACTTACATCACACTGGTACCCGCCAACATATGACCTGCAGGTGGCACCATTGCGACAAGGTTTGTCTTCACATTGGTCCACTTGTGTTTCACAATAGCTCCCAGTGTAGTCAGCAGGGCATTTACAAATGTGTGAATTGCCAGTGTTGACACAGTGACCACCATGGTGGCAAAGCTCATCTGTTTGGATTCCTAATTTGAAAGATATTTGTAAATATTCGAGTTGCAGTTAAGAGTGCAGGCTCAGCGATCAAGAGCATAAAAAAGTCAAATACCCCTCTTGCGAGCCGCTGTTTCACAAGACATGTTTGGGATGTCACAGTAACGTCCAGACCAACCATTAGGACAATTGCAACTGAAAGACGCATCCTTTTGGCGGCAACGTCCTCCATTCTGGCACAGAGACAAGCGTCGGCACCAGTCAACTGGCGTCTGAAAAGCCAAGAAGCAGAAATCAGAGACAAAAGAAGCAAATCTGAAATACTGAGCCTACAGAATAAATGTTTTATGCCTCAAGCTCCTAACTTTACATTTCAAATGTACTTAAGAGCTTATACCTGGCACCTGCTGCCTTCAAAGCCCTTTGGACAGGAACAGCGGAAGGACTCCAGGGCATCTTGACAGGTGCCTCCGTTTAGACATGGCTGAGAGTCACACTCATTTACTTCATACTGGCAGTGGGAGCCAGTGAAGCCAGAGCGACAGGTGCAAGCATAGCCATTGATTTTGTCCGTGCAAGTCCCTCCATTAAAGCAAGAGCTGTAAAAATGTGGAAAACAAGTTAAATTCATACTTTTTATTAGGAAATTTGGTTCAGGCTTACCTTTAGCACACACTTACCTTTCAGTGCAATCCGGAATGTTGGTTTCACAGTGGATGCCAGTAAAGCCAGGTGGGCAGCTACATGTGTAAGAGTTGACATAGTCTGTACAGGTGCCTCCATTTTTACAGGGGAAACTTTGACATTCATTGATCTCCAGTGCACATCTAGGGCCTGTGAAGCCAGGCAAGCAACTACAGTGAAAGGAGTTCACACCATCTGTACACGAACCTCCACTTAAGCAAGGGTCTGAAAGGACAAAGGGAGAAAATGACCTTGATCAGAACAGTGAATGTAATAGTATTATGACAGACAGGTGCTGACAGATATAATATTTGTACACAATATATTTAAAATGTCACTTACTGGGAAAACAGTCATTGATATCTGTTTCACAAGTCAGCCCTGTAAATCCGGCTCTACAGGAACACACAAAGCCTCCTAGCGTGTTTGTGCAGGTCCCACGGTTTTTGCAGGGATTCGACATGCATTCATTCATATCTATGTCACACAACTGACCTGTACAGTGCAAGAGATCAACACAATGAGATATGCTTTGTGAAAATGTAATGTTGTAAAAATGGATTATCTCTCAATAAATTGTAAGTACTGGTGCGACTGAATCGGGTTTTCTAACCTTGCCATCCTGGCTGGCAGTTACACTGATAACCCAGGTAGTCTGGGGTGTGGGTACAGACTGCATGATTGGCGCAAGGGTTAGGGAAGCAAGGTGTGAGGACCTCAGCACAGGTAGGTCCACTATAGGGGAGCTCACACAGACATGTGAAACTGGCAACACCGTCCACACAAGTTCCCTTATTTAGACAGGGGCTGGAAGCACATTCATTGTTGTTCACCTGGCAGAGGTTACCTGTAAACAGAAGCAGCAAAAAGGTGACACTTACAGTGTATAATAACATTTATATTAAACTGTAGACTAGAAGTGTATAGCAACACTTACATCTAGCCACAGTCTACAACTTGTGGCTAGATGCAGCTGCACATTTTATTCACCACTAGGGGGAGCCAGACAACTGTAACTTCAGGTTTGTTTTTGTGTAACTTTGTCCAGTGCTCACCTCTGAAACCTTGGCGACATTTGCAGGTAAAACCATTCAGTTTATCTATGCAAGTTCCAGCATTTTGACAAGGACTTGGTAAACAGTCATTCCTGTCCAGGTCACAGTTCTTCCCAACCCATCCAGGTTCACAGTCACAACGGTATCTGAAAACACAATAGTACAATCAGAAAGCCACAGATGCAAGTTAATAAAAAATGAATGGATGAAGACTAGGGATCTATACTATAAAGCAAGATCAGGGATCTTGTTTTGATAGACCTGCTCCAGAGCAAGTTAGGTTTCATAAAATTTATTTATTTCAATTCCTCTTTTTTTCCAAGCCTTCTGTTTGGCTTTTCTAGAAACTCTGTTGAGTTTATCCTTTAAATGTTAACATTCCCATGTTGTTTTGCTGTAATGTTAGCACTTTTGATCACAAATATGTAGCTCCAGCTCAGTGACTGTGATTGGGAATCTGATTATTCTTACATAAATGCATTTTATTCATTTTTAGAAAACATGGGTTTATACTAAGTTGATAATAAGCATTTTCATATCTAGTTAATTAGGATTATCTAAACATACTCCAGATATTCCAAACCTGCTTTGTTGTACAGGATCTTAATGTATAGTGCGGTAAGCATGTTTTGCTGTTAAAACGATTCATACCCGTTTATGTCCTCTCTGCAGGAGCCATGGACACATGGGCTGCTGCCACACTCATCCACCTGGGAGTAACAGTAAGGGGGTTTAAAGCCTTCAGGACACTGGCAGTGAAATCCATTTTCTTCGTCAATACACGTTCCCCCATTTCTACAGGGGCTAGATGCACACTCGTCTATTTCCACATTACACTTAGGACCTGGAATGAGAGACATTAGATACATTTCAGTATTTCCAGTTTGAAATCATTGTTTGCTCCATGAAACGTGTAGTTTTAATTATAGAGAGACTTGCCTGTAAAGCCAGGTTTGCAAACACAATCATAGCGGTTGATGCCATCTTTGCAGATGCCATAGTCACAAGGGTTACTGGCACAATCATCAAAGTTTATCTCACAGTTTGTACCTGAGGTAAGAAAAGGGAATCACATTATTCTGTAAAAATAAATAAACCTTTTAACAATTAAAGAATGCAAAATTCAGCACATTCCGTGACTGAACAATTCGAATAACATATATTGTGTATGGAGTTGTCTCCTACCTGAAGTTCCATGCTGGCACTGACAGATGTACTTATTGACCCGGTCCACACACTTGCCCCCATTCTGACAAGGATTGCTGTGGCACTCATTAAGTTGGTTTTCACAGCGATAGCCTGTATATCCGGGATCACAATTACACGTGTAGCTAGCAATGCCATCGATGCAAGTACCGTGGTGGCATGGGTCTGGTTGACAGTTGTTGACATTTATTTCACAGAGTCTCCCTTCGTAACCTAAAAAGGAAAAATGCACACATGATTAGGTTTCTTGTATGTAACAGCAAGTCACCTTACTGCTTTCTCCCATAGCTCATTGTCTTTTTTTTTTTTTAGTTTATCCATTGCTATGTTTAATTTATTGTTTTTTTTTTCATAAAACCTTCTGATGTTTGTACTCTGATGACTATGGTTTCTATTTTACCATGCATTTGTCTACACACCAAACTGTTGGTTTGTGCTGTGTTTGTAGTGAAATGTTAAGATGGTTGAAGTAATAAAAAGGGCCTTCCAGTCCTGTGCCTTTGTTCTCAGTGGTGCAGGGAACAATAGACAGCACCATGTCAAACAGGGCCACTTCAGTCAACAGAAGGGGCCCATAAACACAGCGAATACCAAGCAGCTGGCCACTGAAACAATGAAGCAGGCTCCTCTATTGGCATAGTTACAAACAAACATGTTAAATTTCAAGACACAGTCAGCAAGCTTAAACAAACAAACTTTACGACAAACTGTATGTCATTGTGAGTTATGTGCCTTTGTGTATGGATGTGACTAAACACAAAAGGGTTGATGTCAAAACTGCAACATAAGGTGTTGTGTGGGGTATTAAGAAATGAACAGATGTAGGGGTGATGACCAAGGCTCTTTACTAGGCAAACTGCTGGTCCTCTGTGACCTCATGATCCTGACACCCAATGAGAGGAAAAAGGAGGATCAGGGGCCACTTGGCCAGCAGACACCCAAAGAAATAATTCACCCCCAAACAATGAATACTTATTAAACACCAAATAACTGTTTAAAGATCATCTGCACCACCGTCTGAGGAGACGCTGGTTTGTGTAGAGCTAACACCTATCTACTGAACACAATTATATGTAAAGACCCTTACCTTCAGCGCACCGGCACTCAAATCCATTGGGCCGGTCATAGCATTTTGCTCCATTCTGGCAGGGAGTGCTAGCACACTCATCTATGTCAATTTGACACATGGTGCCAGTAAACCCTGGGACATGCAAACACAAAGGTTAAAGGTCAGACAGACGGTCCAGTGAAAGGGTCCAATCCTAGGTCAGAGGGCAGCCGCAGAGGCCTGTAGTTCGGTTAGTCATGTCTGGCTAAGGTAGCTTTAAAGGCTTCTTTCTTTGTTAGAGACTAGTGATATTTTCATTGCAACCAACACTTATCTGACCATTACTAGGCGGTGATTAGGTTTTAAAAAGATTCCAACAATTGGAACAATTCTTAAACAAATGAATTAAGGATTCAAATCAATTTTGCTGTCATGCTATTGACATTTCCATTAAGCTACTGTACATATTGTGTGAAGAATCCACATTCGAATATAATAATGCAAAAAGAGTTTCCACGCTGAGAGAGTTGAACAAGCTTTAAGTCTTTGAGCACAGTGTCAAGTGATACATTGGCAACACACTGTTCAGTTGATTAACAGTGTCAAAATGGTTTCTGTGTTTGGTTCTTGGGCTACTGAAGGGGTGTTTGGAGGAGACAGTGGGATTGTTTTTCTTTTTCTTTTTGGGACCCCCACACCTCCTCCTCTACTTCTTGCTTTAGGTCCACCATCTCAATAGCTAGCTAGGGGCTGGAGGAGGGGGGGACGTCTGTCCCAGATGTAAATTGCGGACCTGGAAAAGAATCTCATTAGCAGAACTGCTGTCCCCCCTCAGCAGCACTACCAGGGCAGGATGAGGGAGAGCTGTCCCTTCCACATTCCACAGAGGAGGAAAGCAGGGGTCACAATGGTGCCTTTGTTCTGGCAGGAGGATCGGCAGTCTTTAGGGCCGGCCTTTTTATGAGTGGTGGCTCTGTATACCAACAGGCAGAAGTAGTGTGTAGCCCATTGGTACTTTGGTTTTTACATATATTTAAATTGAGTTTTTCACTGCTTAATTAGAATTAAAACTGCAAACAGACTCCATGGACCCAAAGAGAAGCAACTGATATTAGATTAATTCATCGAATCCTACCTGGCTGACAGGTGCAAGTGAAGCCGTTGACCATGTCCCGACAGATGCCATCATTCACACATGGGTTGCTCTCACAGTCATCAACGTCAATTTCACAGAAGGTCCCCATATAACCTGGAATATAGAAGTTCAATCTTAATTGCCTACTTTTCTTATTGTTGCTGCAAATTCATAATTAATGTAAAAGTAACTCTGTTTAAGAAAACACGGATTGATGTGAATCCGGAGGAAGATCTAGAAAGAACTCATTAGACGGCCCAAAAGATTCCAAGACCATGTCCAGTGGTGCCACTTCACTGACCTGGAATCACCACACCCAGCTGTCCACAAAAAATGTCACCTCCCTGGGTCAATGTCCCATTCACCAGATACATGTTATACATTCTACATTGGCAAACTATGGCGGGCTAGTCCTTTGAGATGAAACAGAATGTGAATGAGTGCTGCCCCTGTGGAGAGGCTAGCGTGGAATCAGAAATAATCAGAAGCTCCACATGAGCTTTGCCAGGCTGACGATGAGAACGGTGATGAGGAAGGTCCTGTCTCTGGAAATGAAGGAGGGGGAGAAGGGTGGGCTCTGGGAAAAAGCCTCTTTCCCTCACCGTGTCTATGAGGGGTGCAAAGTGGAGCACAGAGGGGCCTTATTGTTCCACTCCATTCCCACCACTCTACCTCTCATTAGTATTCACAGCACACTCCTCCCCCTAACTGTTTGCCCTCTCTCACATCCAGTCCTATAGACCAACCTCCCAGTTCTAATTTGTATAGTACCAAAGACCCCACGACATGCATGTAGGACTGTGTGTGTTATTTTGACTATGTTTTAGGGTTCAAATAAAACTGTACACAAACTAATACCCACTGGGAGTACAGTGTGGTACAGAAGCAACTGATCTCCTAATGTCTGATGAATTGTGTTACATAACAGCCTACAGTTGAAGTCTTTATGGCAGAACAACAAATTATGTTTAAGGTCAAGTTTAAAAACATTGTTCTCCTTGGGACAATGCTAACCTTATGGTTTACTAATTGTCAATCCAACATTTTGTTCTGAGGGCGACTAAGGCTATGATGGTAGGAGTTCATGCTGTTACTGGTGGGTTGCCCGGTTCAAACCCCCACTTGGTCCGTCTCAGTTATTGTGTTCTTGGGCATAGACCTTTACCAGCCTTGCCTGCTGGTGGTGGTCAGAAGTTCAGGTGGTACCAGTATATGGCAGCCTCACTTCTCTCACACTGAACAGGGAAGTTGTGGCTACAATGTAGTTTACCACCATCGATGTTTGATGAGTGATTGTGGTTTGAAGTGCGTTCATGTCCAGCGAACTTGATAAAGCGCTGTACAAGTACAGGGCATTTACCATTTGGTCAGATGATTTAGATCCAAACCCAGTCATCAAGAACTACTACATTGAAATGTTTAGATGCATTCTTCTCTAAATACCTGAATCAAATGAATGGCTCATTATCTCTGCTGAGATAAATGACTGTTGGTGAGACTATTCAGTGTTGGATCAGGAGTGCATCAAAAAGTTGCTGAATGGTAGCTCTCCAAGAATGGACTTGGGCAATAATGGTTTAGATTTACTACTAAAATAATATATTTTTAAGAACTTTGTTTTAAAAGCTATCAAAATGTAAAACTGTATCAATATGGAACTGTTCTTTTATCAGTGAAGAAAAATATACATGTAAAATAGTATGAATACCTGGCATGCATATGCAAGTGAACTCTCCAATGCGGTCCAAGCAGGTGGCATCATTCTGACAGGGCATGGAAAGGCATTCATTGATGTCAATTTCACAACGTGGGCCAGTATATCCACGACCACACTGACACTGAAAGGAGCCTTCTGTGTTCACACATTTTCCAAAATGCTCACAAGGGTTTGCACCTGTCACCAGAAGGCATATGATCAGTAACCTTATATATTTGGTACAGTCACAGATTGAGACCTTAAAACATAAAAAAGTTAAGAGGAACCTTACCAATGGAACACTCATCCATATCTTGATTGCAGGCACCACCCACAAAACCAGCAGGACAGGTGCAAATAGCACGACCATTAAGGGGATTGGTGTCACACACGGCGCCCTCATTACAAGGGTTGCTGACACATGCATCGTCCAGATGACAAAGCAGACCTGTGAAACAGCAAACAAGAACAACAACATATTCACTTATTTAGCTCACAGATAAGAGGCAGCCACAGGAACAACAATAAGCCAAACAACATACCTGTCTTCCCAACTGGACACTCGCAGAAGAAGGATGCTACACGGTCATGGCACGTGGCACCATTGAAGCAAATAGCTACTGCACAGTCATCGATGTTCTCACTACAGTCATCTCCAGTCCAACCATTGACACAGACACATGTATGACCACCGATGGTGTTGAAGCAAGTGCCTCCATTATGGCATGCATTGGGTTGCATGAGGCACTCATTGACATCTTCAGCACAGTATTGTCCTAAAGTGGAAAATCAACACACTCGTTCAAATACAATCATTGTGTTTTAAACAATACATTTAAAGTATGTGTCATAAAATGTACCCGTCCATTCTGGTGGACACTGGCAGTTGTACGTATTGACTCCATCCACACATAGTCCTCCATTCATGCACTTGTGACCTGGGCAGTCGTCCACATTGTTCTCACAGTTGTGTCCCTGAAATCCTGAAAACAATTAACAGAAAACCAAATCAGTTTTAAAAGACACAGCCACACACTCTAGCTGATCAAATGTGAGGTGTAATCTAATAACAATACCAAGCAATTCTACTCCTAAGCACAAGTTACATTTCCCACACAGTAGAGGATGTGGGGAAATGTGGGTAGTAAAAGTTCAGAAGGTGAGTGAATGTTTACATCTATATTTGACTTTTCCCACACAATGTCAGCTACAGGAGTGATTCCTGACTGCTTCAGAGGTCTGACCTACCCTCCATGTTTGCTTGTTTTATAATCTCTCACAGTTTCAATGACTTCCTCCCTGGCAAGAGACATTTCCTGTCAGGTCCCCAGTGGGAAACCAGAAAGCTCATAAAGTAAATTCCTTCTGTGGTGAAAATAGTTGACTGGAGAAGAGAGCAGACATGCAGCCTCTTCAACTTTCCCACTGCCCATCTACCACCAGAAGCCATTATTAATGGGCAGGAAGAAAATCTGAGACACGGGATAGAATCCCACGGAACAACTCTGCTAGCTACATTATATTACAGAGCTAGAGAAATTTATTTAATTCTAGCACCCTGCAAAGAACCAGGAAAACAAAGAGAAACAGATATAGACTGAGTGTGTTGGTTCTATAGAAAAGCAGCTGTTGTACCTGGTAGGCAAGCACATTCGTAGGAATGGTCACTTGTCTGGCGACAGGTGCCCCCATTGAGACACTGAGATGGGGCACAGGGCAAGGTAGACACCTCACACGTACGACCACTGTACCCTAGTGGACACTGGCAGCGGAAGGACCCAACCAAGTTAAGACACAGGCCACCGTTGAGACAAGCACCAGGTTTGCGACACTCATCAATGTCACTGCGGCAATTCTTTCCTTGATAGCCAGGTGGGCAGGAACAGTTGTAATGGTTATTCCAATTGACACAGCGAGCCCCGTTAGCGCATGGACTTGTGGCACAAGCGTCAATGAGGGAGCAGTCTTGACCTGAGGGTCATAGAAATTCATTCAGTTAAAAATTGGAAATTTCTTTAAACAAATTATTGTAATGAAGCCTTACCTCTGAAACCTCTTTGGCACACACATTTGTACTGTGGAATATCATTGACCACATCACTCTTGCAAGCTGCTCGATTCAGACATGGGGATCGATGACAGGGATCCAGGTGTTGACAGAAAGGGCCAATGAATCCGGGACGACATCTGTGCAAATACATTGGAATTAATTGTATCTCAATTTACAATGTGCTGATCATCGGATAATTCTGTCTCTATAACACCTCGGAGAGGTTGGATATTCGCTTTGCACATTCAGCAATGAATCTGAGCCCTGGAATGATTTGTGATTTGGTGTTTACTGCATAAGTACACATCATGCAATGCATTATTTTAGCAATGACCACATAAACCAAATTTAAACTTTTAAAAACTAAAGACAGCATTTTCAATGGATATCCATTGGTTCATCAAGATTCAAGATAAATCGGTTACTTTAAGATGCAGAGCATAATTGTCTCCACGTCATCCAACATTCTTCCACTGTGTCATTTTTTCCGGATCACAGTTTGTACATTTTCCCAGACAGGAGGAAAACACACACGCACACTCACACACACAGATCCTGAAACAGCAGTCTAGAAACCTAACAAATGTCAACAAATGGTGTCTTAAGAAAAAAACAAACAAACGAACATGAGCTATAAAGTTACTTTTGATAAAAAAAATAAAACAGCTGTGTGGGAATGAAATGTCTGAGTTCTGTTTTATTGTAGGTGAGGAAGGTATCTCTGACAGGTGGGTCAATCAGACAAACATATCTTTAAATCATTGAAAACCTCTAAAGGTTAGAATTAGAATTGTTTTATTGTCACTGTGCAAGAAAGGACAATGAAATTTAAAAAACAGCAATTTTTGAAGAAAGTTCAAATAAATAAATATATATAAATAAAGACATTTGTGCAAGCATTTTCTCTGGTGTTTATTTCTGTTACTTGTGTGTTATTACAGAACAAGACTTTGATCACTGCCAAAACATGGGTAGCCAATGTGTTCCATACAAAACCTGCATAGGCACAGTTGAAGAGCTGTCGCTAGGTAAACATTGTCACCAAATCTGCCAATTTCAGTATGACATTGGCAAATTTCATCTGAAATGCCAGATTTTGTTGAGTCTATGGTAGAGTCAAACAAAATATTGAATTGCAATCTTCATTGCAATATCATCCACCCACCTACCCACTTTTTTGGCTAATTGTACTTAAGCTCCTCATTGCAGTTTTTAACAGAACTATCACAATTACATATCCTGATATTGGAAACATTACTTTATAGTCATTTGGGACATCAGATACAGTTTGCTGAGCCGTTAACAGTATACCCACAGTTAGAACTGGCTAAGGCAAAACCCTGGCTTTTAAGGCTATTTGATGATAGTAGCTGGACAATGACAGCTGGGTTCCAGCCAGCTGTAGATTTTCTAAATTTAAATAAACTCTTTAGATCAATGCCATTTTCGCTGGCCTTTCTTATAAGCCAGGGCTGTATGAAATCAGAAAAAAATATGTAAATATAATAATATTTCTGAAATGAACAACGACAATACAGATTACAATAAACTCACTTTTTTATTATTCCTTTAACATTACATATTGTCCCACCACTTTCTGTGTGCTTTAGCATTTCAACTGCTACATCAGGTAGGGATATTAGACTTAGAATGCACTTCAAATATATAATACAACCAAATATTACATAATTAGGGATTAGAATATTGCACACTCTGATAGATGCAATGATGACTACAATTTAATATATTGTACAGCAACACGATAAGTATTCATTACTAACTGTAAGTTGAACATTTTATCTTGAAAGTTCATATGTAATAACTGACGTGCTATTATCTCCTCTGAGTAGATGAACGGATCCAAATCTACAACTTTCTAAAACTGTTTTCTGTCTGAGAAAATTAACAGATTTCTTGGTTTAGTTTAGATTTGGTCTTTTCTTGGCTTTACATGGAAGTCAAAACAGGAGAGCAGCAGCGATTAATGCCAATAAGGACATTCACACATCTACACAAAATATAATAAGCCTGCAAATATGAAAATATGCAACATGTTCTTAATAAATGTACTATTTAAGTAGTAATGAAAAATCTGGGACCAACAAATGCTTTAGAGAAACATTCCACAATAATTTGCCAAAAGCAAGCAGTAAAGAGCTGATAATTAGTTAGGTTGTTAACATGAAGCTACACTCGAGTACTCGTGCTGAGAAAATGTGTCTGCAGAGATACTAAAGCATCTTGTCCCTCCCGCAAATCCTCTCTGAACACCAGCTTGGCTTTTCCTTCCACAACTCCCTCCTCTCACGCGCTGAGAGGTCAGATGTCAGAGGTCCTCTGTCTTATTGTGATGATAATGTCACTTAGGCAGCAGAGTGTGATGTGGTTCTGCTAGGCAGGAGAAATTGCCTTTTATAAGACGCAATTGATGGTTAGAAAGACTTAGAGGTGAAGAGAGTAGTCTGGTCCAACAGGAATGTCATGTCATATTTCCTGTAATCCCTGGTTCCTTGTTCTGAAAACATGGCACTCACTCCTAGTGCACAATTGCTGTTGCCCTAGCAACCAACACAGACGAACAAGTGAGCCTGATAGCCAACCAATCTCCACCTCCCCCACCCTTCGTCCCCATGGCTATTTGTCATGGCTTGGCTGGGTTTATTTAGAGGTCTGGAATCTGGAGTTTTACAAAAAATGAAACACAAATGTGGCACAAAAGAGAACCTTGAAAGTAGCAAAAAGGAAAATTGCTTATAAAGCTGCAAAAATACAGCAAAGACTGTATTTTGGACGTTGGATGTTAATAAAATCAAACAGCTTTAATGTTATCAAGCTGTTGTGCCCATTCTCAAATAACCACAATTGAGTTTAGAGCAAAAATGGCAACTCAACAACTCACCCTCAAATGTACCCTGAATGTCAATGCCTAGTGATGTCAAGTCAAAAGTATTACATCAGATGGAAAAATAGGTCTGGCATTATGTGAGAATCAAGTTCACTGGTATTTATTTGTGTCTGCAGTAGCTGACATGGTTGCATGAACGTGTGCATGTAGGGCCACAAGAATGCCTGATGAATTATTTGTCCTCCTTTACAAATCCAGCCAAAACACACATTCTTTTGTCTAGACCTGACTCAATGCCAACATGCTACTCCCATAACACACAAATCAGAATGCTATCGGAGTAGAGAAGGCGAAAGACACGCAACTTCCCTCGTATTTCTGTTCATATCACTCTGAAAAATCAGCTTGTCAAGCTCCCTTTAACCTTGTGGATTCCATGGCTCATGAGAACAACAGTCCAGGATCTAGGCTTTTCTCATTCTACTTATTTGTGTCAGATTTTTGCAACAGGTGCAGGAGAGCTATTGTGCAACAGGCTTCTTAGTCATACTTTTGACTTGCCAACATTTGACCTTTGAGGAAGCAAATACAGCAGATGAGACGGAGGTCTGTGAGTGCAGCCTGGTGATGGCCAGAATGGGTAATCTTCCCGTGTCAACACATGTGATTGCTCTTGCCAGCTGCAATCCTGCCATCTGTCCACATCTGTCAGAGCACCTCTGGGTGTCTGGTATTTACATCTTCGGCGAAATTTTAAGCCAAAACAACTGGTCTGTTTTGCCCATGGGACTGAAGCAGTAGCCAAGACTCATAGTTGGAAAACTCAAGAAATGTGGTCTTTCTTCACAGATGCATGCATTAGCTGTTCTACGGTTTTGACGTTTTTAAGATCGCACTGCAACATAGTAAAACCATGCAACACTCAGTACACACTCAGGCACAAGGAGGGAAAACTTACAACAAGGCTCAGCCCTTGAGGAGCACGAATGCTTAAAAGAGATGATGAGAGATAAAAAGAAATGAGACATATTAAAGTATGGCATTGAAAGTGTTTGTAGTGATGTTTTGAATTTTCTGTGTCAATCATAGAAACCCTGAAAGGCTTTAATTTATGCGAGTGAGTTTTAGCACATCTATGTGGGTAACAAAATGCTAATTTTCCTGCTTTCTGGTTCACTTGAGCAGAGTAACCTGAGCTCATCCTCTTCCACACAATAGTAACTATTCTCCCAGAGGTCAAAAGGTGGCTCACCTGTGGACAAAGAGGCTGTAATCTTTTAGACAGTTCAAACACACAGTCATGCTTCACAAGACAACGAGTACACAAAGAAAAAGAGAAGGAACAAAACAATATTTTCTCTTGGAGCAATGTTTCAAAGTTGTCCATTACATGAGAGGAAGTGATAAATGTTTTGTAAATTACTTTACAATTGCCAAAAAAAAAAAAAAGATATTGTAACATCAGCCACTTTTTCACAATGCAGCCTTCTTTCCCACCACTCTTTCCACAAGCAAGCAGTGACCAGTTGTTCTTCTTTATAAGAGACCATACTGATACCACACTGCCAACAAGAGCCCATGGTTGCCCCCTCCCTCCAGCAGTCTCTTCGGCTTGGCTCCTCTCAGCTTGGCTCTCCCTTCTTCAGCAAAGAGCCAGATTGGGGGTTGGGAATGTTTTGTGGCCCAAATAAAAGAGCTAAAGTAGTCAGAACCCTTTTGTATGAAAGTGTTGGGGGGCGATAGCTGTGCAAGGGGGGTGCAGTGACCCAAACAGCTAGTCTTTAAAGGCCTTGGTCGTAGCCTGGCAACAGTAACCCATGGTAAGACAGGTCCCGAATGAGAAAAAGGGGGTGATGAGAGGAAGGGTTTCATAAGGACAGTTGGATCTGCTCAGAGGATTTGTCCATGTCCGAACGCAGGTAGCTCTCTCTGGAAAACGTTAGTGTTGTAATCATCCATAATCATATCCACAAGCATGTGTGTTTGTGTTTCACAGAATAGATAACTAGATTTGTTTAAACACTTGTGTTTACATGCACACTGAAGAAGTCTCCAGAGGCCTTCCAGCTTGTCAAATGGATGAGAGTGTAGCGCGCGCGTGACTTCAAGAACATTTTCTAATGAAAAACTGAATCTGAGAAAAACCAAAAGCTAAAGATGATTAGTTCCCTAAAATAGCTAAAGAGCAGTCAAGTCAACATGTACAGGAGTGAAAATCAGGGGCATAGCCAAATGGCAGACAGACTGGAGATCACTATAAATCTATCTCTGACAGAAAAATGAAACAATGTT